ACGTCACCATACCTGTGATCCACCAAAGAAGAACATTAGAGTGAGCAGCTCAGGAGACGGCGGAAGTATTCCCTGCCTGATGTCGAACAGCTTAGCTTAGGGAGAACTTTATGACATTCTGAACAATCTGTCAAACAGAGTTCAGCAAAGCACAGGAGGCAAAATGTTGTATACACATGTGGGCTGTGAAGAGACTGAAATGATTTTTTAATGTCCTCCTTTTGCAACATTTTTTGTATGTATTTGTGACTTTGGAGCAGGTGGTTAGAGGAGAAAGGATGTTAGGGATTGAAAAAACAGCTTTCAAGGACACCAGGTGATTTCTCACTTCCTTGCAAATTCAAGTTTCATGTTCCCATACATTTGGAAAGGGGAGAGGCAGGAAAATGTATGCACACTATGATGGCTATGAATCCCTAGACTTCATTCTCTGCTCTTTGGACAGTTTTCTGGTAGTGGAGGAGCGAGAGCACATCCATCTCCTTCATCATACATATATATGCCACAAACACTTCGCATTCAGCTAGTCAATGCTTGTTAACACAGGACGGTCTGTGGCTCAATGCTAGTGTACAGGTTTTGCATGCAAATTGTCCCAAATTCAATCTCTGCCATCTCCAGGTAGGACCAGGACATGCTCTTTTCTGAAAGCTGAGAAAGCTTCTGATGGTCTGACATGGTATAAGGCAACTTCCTATTTTCCTGATATTAGGAAACTGAAGCCGAGTTGAAGAGATGGAGCAGCAGCCCAAAGCAGGAAGAGAGGTGGTAAGAGAACACCTAGCTACTTTCAATTAATTCTGATCTCCAGGCCATAATGAACCTCTATGGAGGTTCTGTATTCCTTATCTCCTCCGCTGAGCTATACACAGAGACCATTTGGGAAGGTGTTGGAGCACAAGATATGCAGGTGTGAAGCCTCAGATTCAATCCATCACATTGCTGGTTAAAAGTGCCAGTGTGAGAACTTCAGTACACAACAAAAAGAATCTTAGGTACAGAAAGGCCAGACAGCAACTGCCCATCAGAATAGAGAAATAACAAAAGGAAGGTAAATAGGTGGTAGAACAACACTGTCGCCTCACTCCTAAAAAAGGGAAAAGGAACAAAATAACTAAATCCCAAGTAGGCAAAAATACACGCAGATGAGATACACCTGCTTGTCATCAAAAAGGAGCAGCACAAAATGTATATTTTAGTTTGTAAATGATTAAATCTGTGGTATGAGTAGATGAGAGTTTGCAAAGCCTTTGGCTATATGATGTAAAATTGAGTCTAATCTCACACAAAAGCTAAAATGCAATTGGAGAATGCTTTGATGAATTGTATGGAAAGGACCCATGAACCACTCTTTCTTCTGAGAAAAGAATACCATGCAATGTACTGTATAGGCAATCTAACTTTTATTAGTTTGAAAGCCTTTGGCAGAGCTAGATCTTGTGTTAAACCTTTGAACACCCCTTAGTTTTCCTGTTAGTACTTAATAAATGATGATGTTCAAGGATAATGATTGCCACATGATGGAGCGATGGCCATTCTACTACAGATGGTTTTCCAAAAGTACTAGACAAACTCATAGAAGATACCTGTATCTTAGGCCTGAAGGCTGAAAGGTATATTCAGAGGAATTCATTTATTCAATAAGATTTATATACCACATTTTTTTAAAAAAGGAAAACTTTTTGTTCTTTGCATATAGTATCATAAACTAGTCAATAAAAAACTAATAAAACCAACAGACATTAAAAACAATATAGATGCTGTGTCCTCAGATGTTGGGGATGAACTGGGGTGGTGAACCTGTGGCCCTCCAGATGTTGTTGGACTCCAGATCCCATCAGCTGCAACCAGCATGGCCAATGGTCAGGGATGATGGGAGTTGTAGTCCAGCAACATCTGATGGGTCACAGATTCCTCACCCTGGCAAACAACATGAGTGTCCTAAGGTCACCTGGCTGGACACCGCTGAATCTACAAAATAAGGGAGGAGTAGGAGGGTACCCCCACAAATAAACACACATACACACACAACCCAATTGCATCACAGCACTTTAAAATTTTTAATAACTGCCCGAAGTTATTGTCTAAGCATTACCTTTTGGCATGTGAATATAACAAGCACATCCATTTTATATTTCTAATGATGTGTTTGTGTTGGACATTGTCAAAGACAGAATGTTGGATTGGATGAATCTTTCTTTACTCTGATCCAGCCAGGCAGGTCTCTTGCTTTGTTACCTGCCTTGAGCTTCAGTGGGCTAACTTAAGATATGCGCAGACATATCCATGCATCCATCCATTCCCGGCCACTTTTCACACAGAACCATGCCGCTGACTCACCTCCCCCCTCTTTGCTGTTTTTCACTGTCTTGATATTCAGTGCACGCTAGTAAAGTAATATTTGGCTATCCAAAAATGTGCATGGCTTGCCAGATAAACCTCATTACGAAGTTCAAATTTCAATTCATAATGTGAAATCAGGATGACTATAAAATAACTACAGCTGGAGGGCATTGATTACACAGGCTTGTGACACACATGGACTCACGCGCGCACACATGGCTAGTGGGGGGTCTTTAAAGTACAACCTGCCTCTGAGAGAGTCCAAGCTTTTCTTTTTTGGAGAAGGGAACCTTAGAGAAGGATTAAAGATTTATATTGATGATGAGGGGGAGGGCCTCTGGAGAGGCTAATACTAGAGTTTAGTAGGCCAGGGGAGAGAGAAAAGCAGAAAACTGCATGCTAATCTCTAATGAATAGGGATTCAGATAAGACCTCCACGAAAGCAGGTTATCCCACATCTGCATATCATGGGTGGAGATGGAAGAATTCCCTGCGCTTTGTAAACATTGAGTTTTCACCCCCAGCGGAGATGGGATGCTGTACTAGATCGCCTGATCTGGCCTGGCTGATGCAGCACATTGCATGGGGTTCACATTCATGTTTTTCTTTGCATTATTGTTATAGCCCCCATGGTAAGCCTAGAAGTGCTGAAAGTAATTAGGAGCTGCTTTTCCAATGCATGAGTCATTCCTGTTTCGGTTCAAGGGGGATAATGTGGCTGATCTTAGATCATTCCCTCTCCCCCACCACCTCAAGGTTCTTGGATTTTGTTGAGCTGTTTGTGGAATAAACTATTGAGGGTCTTGATGAAAACCAATGTCCAGATGAATGGAGTCTCCCTCTGAGGATAAATTAAGCATATATTGATGGGCGTATATTGCTGACTGCTGCCCGGTTTGCTCTGGTTCATGACTGGGCCTTCTTTGTGGTGGTTCCTCATTTGTGGAACACATCTTTCTCCTTCATTTTTAATGTTCAGGAGGAAGTTAAGAACATTCCTTATCACCTGGGCATTTGATGTTTGAAAGAGACTGTTCCTGGAAACATTGGCATTATTAGTTGTAGGAATATGTGGCTGTTTTGTTTCTTTTAAAAAATGGTCTTAGATGTTATTGATGTTCACAGATGTTTTTAACTGTTTTAAAGATGATTTCATTTCACTTTTTAATTCTACTGTTTTGTTGTTTGTTTGCTTGCCACCCTAAGCTCCATTAGCAGGGAGGGCAGGGTACAAGTTTAAATAAATATATAAATAACCATGAACAGGGAAGGCTTTGTTTTCACTTTGCCCATCACAGATGTTTGCTGTTACATGGGTGGTTCCTACATCAGGTATGAAGGGGCAGCCAAGCAGGTTGAAATACGTAGTGGGCGCATGCTAGGGAATCATAGCCAATCAGGGATTTTCAATGAGGTCTCCGAACTTTAAGGAGGTACCTCTGCCATTCACACTATATGTTTGCCATGTTTATCTATATACCCGGGCCAGTTCAAGTCTTCCTGAACTCATGCTTGTTTAGGCAAAACTGCACCATCCACACAAGAGAGGAGAGAGGTATTGGCATGGTCAGGGCAACTCTGACGTACAAGCAGGTAGGGGTGGCTAAGTCTGTCGATTTTGGTTGCTCTCAGTTTCTTATCCCCCCCCCAAACAAGCTCAGTTCTCCACATCAGTTTGTGATAATGATGATGATTAAAGTCCTCATGCAAATTCGCCAGCATTCCAGTGCGAATTTCTCCTGATATTTTGTATGCAACTTTGCCTAGCATACACATTGCCACAAGGCATATTTCCCCTAATATAAGCTATTTTTGGATGTTATTTTCACTACTAGATACATTTTATGCACATTTACCACAGTATACGCAGCTTTGTGCACATTACTAGGCTGGCTAACTGCATTGCAAAATACACACAAGTGTGAATTTAGAAGGATGCCCGTGTTCCAGTTCACATATTGTTTCAGAAAGTGCAAATAAGGTAGATTCACCTTTAAAAGTGAACTGAATGTAATTTAATTAACATCCCGAGGTTCAGACACAAATTCCCCCTCAGGGAACCCCCTACACCCCCACCCATGTAGTGGAAATTCCCCTGCAAGCTGCTCCATAATAATTCAGTGACACAGAATATTGAGAAGCTAAGAGGGAAATAAACAAACTGATGACTGGGTGTAACAGCAGGATAAAGACAAATATATGGTAGATAGAACAATTGTCTGGATAGGTCTCTTCCTGCTTCTTACTGAGAATCTGTTTTAATATATCCTGGGGCTGGGAATGAGAGCTGCCCATGGAAACCAATGAAAAATTCCAAGATTGTATAATTAAAAAAAAGTTGTATAGTTATAATTATATATAGCTTATATCTACCATATATACCACAGCAACCATTTCATTGAATTGGTGTGTGGCAAATAGAACCATTGGCTATGCACCATGAATCTTAAATTTGTCAGGAAACTGGTCTTTGGCAAGTCACTTCCTCTTAGCTTTGCAATGTGGACACACCTTCAGAGCTCTTGCAAGGATTACACCAAGAGACAATGATGTTTGATGTCTGGCCTAAAGCAGCAGATTTCTATGATCTGAAATAATTTTGTGTTGTGCAATATTCCCAGGGGCATTGACTCTCCAGGGCTTCAGGCAGCTCTACCTGGAGATGATGGGGATTGAACCTAGGACCTTATATGTGTAATGCAGATGCTCTACCACTGAACTATGTCCCTTCAATCCCATTACTCATGAAACATCAAGAAGGTGCTTAAAACATTCACAGAACCATATTCCACACCTCACAATACCAATGGGATGGGTTGACTTTTTCCAGCTAAAATATTTTCTGGTTTGAGTGCTACCTAAGTTAGATATCTCTGCTGCAGAAGCATAGTATTTAAGGTGACACATGCATCATAAATGGATTGAACCTAGAGGTTTTCAGAAGGCAGGCTATCTATTGGCTTGCTATGTGTACACTTGCTGGTACATAGCTCATTCAAATGAGATGCAATTCAAAAGCAAGAGGTTTGGGAAAGTTCCCCTGGTAATATTCCCTGACCTGCTCTTGTCTGAGTTGCTTAGCCGTACTGTGGGCCAGCTGGATGTGACATGCTTTACAAAGAATAATATCCTCCAAATTCTTTCTCTCCCAATGTTCAATACAGGGTCCAGGGGTGCCAACTTGAATAAAATATTGGGGGGCCCAGGTAAGCCCACATAATCAATCACATGACATGGAACACATGCACCATTTGAATGGCAATGCCCCTCAACTGGGGGGGGGCTGGCTCCCTCAAATATTTTATTGGAGGGGCCAAAGGGACCTCAGCCCCTAGGAGTTGGCTCCTATGACAGGGTCTGTCACTTCCAAAGGATGATTCTGCTAGAAATCATAGTGTGGCAGATGCTTGGAGGTATCAGCATTCAACACATTGTTCCTGTGCTAAAGGGGTCCACATCTCTTGAACTTAAGGGGGTTTAATACAACTTAGATCTGCTCCACCTTCTCTTGTTCATTACCACACTAGAAGCATTCTGCTTGCATTGGGTTGCATGTGTGAATATAATGCTTATGGTCACTTAGCAGATACTTTTGGAATGCCTTGCTGTACGGCCCCTGACACCTTCTCATCAATCCTGGCCAGCTTGACCAATGATCAGGGATTTTGGAAGTTGTGGTCCAGGAACATTGGCCTGGCCACAGATTCCCTACAGGTCTGGAGGGTGTATTGTCTGTGCAGTTAGTTGGGCTCAGAGGAAAGAAAGAAAGAAAGAAAGAAAGAAAGAAAGAAAGAAAGAAAGAAAGAAAGAAAGAAAGAAATCAGGTTTATTAAAAAGGACACAGAGAAATAAATGAAAGAACCCACCATTTCTTGTCAGTGGTGGCTCTCAGATTCTAAATGGCCTCCAACTATTTCACACAATATTTGAAAATAAATATCATTCATTCTCAGGCTGCTGAAGACTCTCAGTCCAAGTGGACTTGGGATTTATCATGGAAAGAGTGATGCAACCTTAGCACTATTTCAGCCATGTGGTGTTATCATTCAGCAAATAGCTCCCACCCTGACTCTTGAAATTGCCTTTCTGGGTGGCTCTCAGCGCTAGCTAATTAACACTTTCATAACACAGTGGTTGGAGATTCTAACTGGAAGCTTTCTGCAGTGATGTTTAGTCGACTGTAAATGCACAAGGAATTGTAGATGTCTCCTCATGACTTTTTAATTTAAAGAAATGTTGCATTGGGTCTCTCTGAGATGAAGCAAGATCGGCAGATTGGAGATTTCAATGGTTTGGGGTTGGTGGGTTAATGTATGATTTCGTTAACAACTAGGAAAAATCCTTGCCTGTAAGGAAAATAATCTTGATAGCTTTAAAAGGAAAGAGAGAAAGAAAGAGAGATTTCTGGGCATAATTGAACACTTTAGCAGAGATAATTCATTCCATGTTTGTGCACTTTTGACTTGCCTATTACTTGGCCTCATGAGAACAGAATAACGCCAAGGTGTTATAGAAGAGAAGAGCAGCTCCCCTCAGTGAGGGACTTGGCTAAGGGCTGAGTGATTACTTCAGAGGAGCAAGCTGCACCTGAGTACACAGCACTTTTACTGCAAATGCACTCAGCTGACCAGCTCCTATGACCTCACCGCAGATGGTATAAAGTGAGTGCAAACACACACAGTGAGAAAGCAGGGGGAGATGCACACAAGGAAAAAAACACACCAAGATGTAAATTGCCCTGGGCATCCTTCTCTCCAAGGCATTTTGCAAGTGATTTGCTAAGGCAGCGGGGTAAAGGACTCTGAAAACAAAGGGAAACCCAGAAGCTGTAATATTCATACTTCAGCCACTTAGAATACTGCACAAAAATGGTATCACAGGCATAATAACAATGCACGTTGCAATCTGAGACCTTCATGTCTGTAGGACCTGTATGCTTCCTAAGGTGCAATGTTGCTTTTTATTTACAGCTGTCGTTTTTTAAATTTTGTCTGTAAGTGCAGAAAACATTAGAACCACAGCTCTTTCAGTCTTCCATGCATACACACAGACAGAGCAATGTTATGTGCTTAAAAGGAATTAAAAAGAATGCGGTCAGTAAAACAATGCCCAAAGTAGCTAAACAACAAAGCTGGGCAGAACAAAAGCATCTGAACAAGCTGCTTGAAACCTGCAGCCTGATGAGCCCAGAGAGCAAGAGAATTCCATAATTTCAATGTTGTTATTGAGTTCTGGGTGTTTGCCAATCAAGACTTCCCATGGACAGCAATTTTAACCAGGTCTCCAGGAATGACCCTAACAAATGAAAAGGTTCATAGAAGTGTAAGTGTTCTAAGCTACACCCACGGTGCCAGGCCAAGCCTATCGCACCTTCCCTTGGCTCCACCCACTCAGAGTTCATCCTGCCTGGTCTCAGTCCACCCCAGCTCCACTGAAGAATGCCTCTTCTCTGCCATGGAGCCTCTGAGTTTAGAGACAATAGAGTAGCCTTGCACGACCTGGGGTCCGCCAAATGTTTTGGATTAGAATTCACATTAAAAAAGGTAAAGGTAAAGGGACCCCTGACCGTTAAGTCCAGTTGCGGACGACTCTGGGGTTGCAGCGCTCATCTCACTTTATTGGCTGAGGGAGCCAGGATACAACTTCCAGGTCATGTGGCCAGCATGACTAAGCCGCTTCTGGTGAACCAGAGCAGCGCACGGAAACTCTGTTTCCTTCCCGCCGGAGCGGTACCTATTTATCTACTTGCACTTTGATGTACTTTCAAACTGCTAGGTTGGCAGGAGCTGGGACTGAGCAACGGGAGCTTACCCTGTCATGGGGATTTGAACTGCTGACCTTCTGATCGGCAAGCCCAAGAGGCTCAGTGGTTTAGACCACAGCGCCACCCGCGTCCCCAGCGCCACCTGCGTGCATTGAAATGAATTCCATTCCTGAACACATGAGATGCCCAAGCAGCAAAGGCCTGGATGTCAACAGAAGTCGCCTGCATGGTGTGGCATTGTTGTATTGGCCCCTTCTTTTCCCTTTCTAATATCCACTTCTTTTCTTGCATTCGCTGTACAGACTCAGGCATCCAATGCTGTATCACATCCTCTCACTTGCAATTCCTTGCATGTTCTTCACAACTGATTGACAAGCACACCCCTACAGGGTTTCCAGGTTTGCCAAAGCACATGCTGGGCTTGTTGCTAGGGAGAGAAACCTGAGAAACTGATCGCCCACCAGAGCCAGGTGTTTGGATATCTTCACCAGTCCATCTGAGCAAACAATGAGCGTTTGTAACGCAAATTCAGACTTAGAAAGGAAATCTGGTTTTCATTCTTTGTGATTTCTCTTGCCCAAATTATTTCTTTTGTCATCTTATTTTGGTTTAAGTCCTTATGTGACATGTTTCAGCTGCAAAATTCACACTTTTAAATATCTGGTTCTTTCCTTGACTATAGTTTTAGGGAGTTTAGACACTTCCCACAATGCAGCTAAAATTAATCATGGTGAGCTTTCCGCATTCATTTCAATGGGGCATTGTTAAAATTAATGTTAGCTGGTTCAGGACCAAATCTCTTTATGCACTAAGCATTAAAGAACCAAGCACACATCACAGAGATATATTATGAAAGTCTGTGCACCCAGAAACACTGTACTGTATGACTCATTGGTTTGATCCCCTAAGCTCTTCTTACAATCTCATGATCTAAAACTCCTGTAGAAGCCAAATATTAATCCTATGAAGAGAATCAAAACCTTCAGTTATGTTTGTGGACTAGCTCCAGGGAATGGGAATTGCAGGCACTGTGTTCCACTAGTCCCACTCCTACCTATGGGACTGAGTCCTGATCCCAGAGTGCTTTTCAGACCCCTGCTGGTTATGTTGTGGGGTGCTTCAGGGCACCATCTTCTCTTTAACGCTATTTGAAGTTGCTGGGAACAGTCATTAGCAGTTTGAAGTCAAGGTGCCATTAGTATGTTGATGACACTCAGTGCTTTTTTTCTGAGGATAAAGTAAAGGTAAAGGACCCTAGATGGTTAAGTCCAATGAAAGGCAACTATGGGGTTGTGACGCTCATCTTGCTTTCAGGTTGAGGGAGCCAGTGTTTGTCCACAGACAGCTTTCCGGGTCATGTGGCCAGCATGACTAAACCACTTCTGGTGCAATGTAACACCGTGACGGAAGCCAGAGCGCACGGAAATGCCATTTACCTTCCTGCTGCAGTGGTAGCTATTTATCTACTTGCATTGGTGTGCTTTTGAACTGCTACTTTGGCAGAAACTGGAACAGTTTCATTCCATCACGGGGATTCAAACCACTGACCTTCTGATTGGCAAGCCCAAGAGGCTCAGTGGTTTAGACCACCATGTCACCTGCTCCCTTACTTTCTGAGGATAGTCATGGGTATGCAGTACCAGCATCTTTTTTTCTAGAAGAAACATGCTGAAAATGCCCCACTCCATTTCTCCACAACATCTGAATTGAGAGGCTGTGCAATCCCTGGACCGGTGCCTGGATGCAGTGGTGAGATTGATGAGGAAAAAAGAAGCTGACTTTGAATCCTCACAAGACAGAGGGAATGTGAGTGAGTGGTTCCCACATCTGAAAACTTATTCAATGGCCTACCCTGGATGGCAGGTTTACAGCCTGATGGTGCTTCTAGATCCAGCTTTGTCACTGGAGGCTCACGTAGCCTCCTATCAATTGTGATGGGTACAACAGCTACTATCATTCCTAG